GTGGTGGTGGCGCTGCTGGTCTTAGTCGTAGTTGTGGTGGAGCTGGTTGTGGTGGTGGTGCTGCTGCTGCTTGTTGTCGCCGGTGTGGTAGTGGTTGTCGTGGTGCTGCTGGTCGCCGTCGCGGTGGTGTTCGTAGTTGTGGTGTTGCTGGTCGCCGTCGTCGTGGCGCTGCTGGTCGTAGTGGTGCTGCTGGTCGCCGTCGTGGAGGTTCTGGTCGTCGTCGCGGTCGCGGTGGCGGCGGTGCTGGTGGTGGTGCTGCTGGTGGCGGGTGTCGTCGTTGTGGTGCTGCTGCTGTTCGTAGTTGTGGTGGTGGTGGCGGTAGGTGTGGTGCTGCTCGCAGTCGCTCTGTTGTTGGCGTTCCTGCAAGCTGCCGTGCCCCGCCCTGCTCGCCCGCGCCCCCATGCGGGGGCCCGCGCTCTCAGGGGAGCGCCAACAGAACATCCCATCGCCAGGGATTCTCCCCGTCTGTCGCAAGCGTCTCAGAGGGCACGTCCTCGAGCAGGGTCGCTGCAAGGGCGTCGTGGATGGCGTGCGCCAACATGCCGCTCCACCTGTGAAGCAGCGCGGTCGCGTGCGACCCTCGCAGCGCCGCCGTCGCGCTCCTCGCCCGGGCTCGGGCCAGGGTAACGAGGAGCTTGTGCGCCTCCTCGTCCCAACGTCCGCCCCTCTCTGCTCCGGCTACGAGCAGGTAGCCCCGCCGCGAGCCCACCAGCTCAGGGTAAGTAGTCTGCTTGCGGCGCCTCGCCCGTTTCAGCGCGAGTCCAGGGCAGAACCTCTGCGCAATCGGCCTGCCGGTGGCCCTCGGCGGGGAGACGATGCAGGCGTCGATGGCGAGCTGCCTGCCATGGTAGGCAGGGAGGCCGTCGACCACCACCTCGATGCGGCGCCCGTCGTTGGCAGCAGTTTCTGGGAGGTTCATGTCGCGCAGGAGCACGTTGGTGCGGACACGGCCTCCTGCCTCCCGGCACACCCGGGCCCACATCCTCTTCGATGGGAGCGCCGCGCTTGAGCAGTCGTCCGCTGCGGGGGCACGCTGCTCTGTGGTCGCCGCGCTCGTCCAAGTGGGCCTGGCAGGAGCGCCCTTTGCACCTGCTCGCTGTGGCGTCCAGCGGCAAGCGAAGCCGTCTTTGGAAAAGCGCACGGAAACGCTCTGGCGTGTACGTGCTCTCTGGCGTCGAGGGGATCAGGGTCAGGTGCCGTCCGCCGCAGCGGCCCCCCCGCGAGTCGAGCATCCACTGCTGGTCGTCCGCAAGGGTTGTGAGCACGACTGCCTCTCTGTATCGCTGCTCTCGTGCTGCTGATACGTGCTACTGCCATCCATGCTTCCGCTCACCCGGCTCTGGCCCTGTCTGTTCAGGGCGCGCGCCGTCCCAGACCTCCTGCCAAGTTGGGCACGTCGCAAAGCCGTCGCGGGCGGCGGCAGCCCTCGCGCACCCTGCTCCCTGGAGGCATGCGGCTGCGGCGCCAATCCCGGCGCGAGGGGCGGCGGTGAGCTCCGTTGCTGCTGTGGGGTTTCTCCGTCCTAACATGGGGAGCGCGTCCGCCCAGGACGCCCAGTGCGCGCGCTCGGCTGTGCGCGCGGCAGACCTCAGTCCGAGGCCCCCGAGGCCAAGCGGCAGCGAACTCACTCGGAAGAGTCTTTTTTCGTCAGCTGGCCCGGGGTCGAGGCCGAGGAGGCCGTGGAGCACCTCCTGCAGCCCGCGTTCGTGGGCCTCGGCGTAGGGCCGCGGCGGCGACGGGGGCAGCGTGCGCAGGACGCGGTTGCACCGCGGCGCCGCGCAGTACAGCAGGGGCGCCCAAGCGCGCTGAAGGTCCGGCAGATTGGGTAGTTCTCGTAGGAAGCTGCAGCCCCACCTTAAAAACTCGTTCAAAGTCGGGAGGGGAGGGGCCAAACGCTAGATCCGGAAGAGCGTGTTCTACCGCTGCTGGCGGAAAACCGGGGGGGGGGGGGCACTGGGGGTTCCAGCCCGCCCCCCCCCCCCCTCGAAAACCAGGGGGGGGTCACTACCCGTTCGAACCCCTCCCCGCCCCGTCCATCATGAAAAAGAGAGGGGGTCACTACCGGTTCGACCCCCCCCCTATTCGAAAACTGGGGGGGGTCACTGCTGGCTTGAAACCCCCCCTCGCCGCCGGCAAACGATTCCCGCTCCCCGGGACAGTTGGACCATGGTGGGGATGCTGGGACACCTGTGGGAACGGTGGTAGCGGGGACAGTGGTGCGGGGACAATGGGACAGTTTGCGGACAATGGTGGGGACGGTGGTGGTGGGGACCGTGGCGAGGGGACAGCGGGACAGTGGTGGGTGCAGTGGGACACTGGTGGGGACGGTAGTGGCGGGGACAGTGGTGAAGGCGGTGGTGAGTACAGTGGTGGGACAGTAGCACAGTGGGGAAAGTGGTGGGGACAGTGGGGACAGTGGAACAGTGATGGGGACGGTGGGGTCGGGGGGGGAGCATAGTGGGACATCGGCGGGAACAGTGGGACAGTGGTGGGTACAGAAGGGACAATGGAAGAATGGTGGGGACCGTGGGGCAAGTGGGGAGAGTGGGACCGTGGTGGGACAATGGCGGGGACAGTGGGGACAGTGAGACACCGGTGGGGGCACTGGTGGGGACAGCGGGGACACTTGTGGGAACAGTGGGGACAGTGGGACAGTGGTGGGGACGGTGGTGGTGGGGACAATGGTGTGGGGACAGTGGGAATGTGGTGGGAACAGTGGGACAGTGGAGGGTACAGTGGTGAAGGCGGTGGCGAAGACGGCGGTGGGACAATGGGACAGCGTGGGGATAGTGGGGACAATGGGACGACGGTGGTACAGTGGGGACAGTGGCGGGGACAGCGTGGACAGTGGCGGGCACAGAAGGGACAGTTCAGTGGGACACCGTCGGGGACAGCGGGAAAGTGGGACAGTGGGGACAGTGGGACGGTGATTGGGGCGGCGGGGGAAGTGGGGAGAGCGGGGCCGCGGTGGGGACAGTGGTAGGGACAGTGGGGACAATGCGACAGCGGAGGGGGCACTGGTGGGGACAGTGGGGACGGTGGTGGGAACAGCGGGGACAGTGGTGGTGAGGGCAGTAGTGCTGGAGACAGCAGCGGGGGATGTGGTGCGGACGGTGGCAGGGACCCGAGAGTCGCTTGCCGGCGGTGCGCGCGGGGGGGGGAGTCGAACCGGCAGCGACCCCCCTCTGGTTTTCTGAAGGGGGGGGGCTCGAACTGGTAGTGAGCATCCCGGTTTTCCGGAAGCGGGGAAAAGGGGGTTTGAACCTTCAGGGACGGGGGGGGGGTTGTCGGGGGGAGGGAGGGGGGAGGCCCAACAGGGGGGGGGGGGGGCGGGTTCCGGAGGAAGAGGGGGGGAATTTTCGACGGTAAAGCGGCGGTGGATCACGCTCTCTCCTAGATCCAAGCCCTAAGTAATATTACATCAAATTAAGGAAAATGATCGAGATTTTTTTGTTGTTGTTTGTTCTTCCCCCCCCCCAACAGCCCTAACAGTACACAGTCGAAGCGCAAAGAAGACAGCATGCTGCATCCGATCTGGTCGCGGGCTCAACCACGCGACCAGCCGCATAATAACATGGACAATCACGGGCGAGATCGCGTGACTACCCACAGATAATTAGGGGTGGACGTCCAGCCAATAGCCGGGCGTTTAAACGTGCGACGCGTGAAAGTACCTGACCAGACAATCCGGTCCCCTCAAACAACAAACAAAACAACACCGAGGCCCGTGTCCGTGCCGGCATATGAACTGTCGGCATACCTGCCCGCGGCCGGGCAATGGCGACTATATGTATGAATTTGAGCAGTCATCCTCATGCCTATCCGCTAGCCCTGAGTAGGGCACCCTTACGTTGGCGCTGTCTCTTCGCTGCCTTGATAGGGCATGTACTTCTTCACCTCATATTTGAAGGACTGATTGCCTTCCATAACTTGCGGCAGCAACGCCCGATCGATACACCCTTCGGCGCGACCGTCTGCGGCCGTGCCCCGTGCATCACACCACTGCACGCAATGAACGATACCTCGGTCCATCATTTGCCTCATCCAGCGGATGTGCCCCAGGAGGGCGCATCCAGTCGGTTTCTTGAAGTCCTTACTTGACATGGACATGGATTTAAAGACCGACTCTGCGCCCTCCTCCGAGCAGGGGAAGGATGGGTTTTGGCAGAGAGAAAACAAAGTTCGTTAAACCACCTACGCCCAGAGGGCTGGAGGGATTTCGTTTTGAGATTGCGTCAGCGTGCGCTCGCGTCTGGCAGTCGAGGAGAAAACGCATATTCGCGTCACTTCGCGTCGACTAGCGTCGGTTATCGTCGATTTGCAAGAGCTAGCAAGATGATATATGGCAGGCTCCCATGAGTTGCCTCAGAACTTTCCTCGTTCGTTACGTGGGCGCTGCTGGCGCCGGGAGGCGCCGGGAAAACCTCTTCATACGTGAAGCGATGGGCGGCCCATTTACTGACCCCCGGTTCCGTCCGACCCGATCCTTGCTTTTAACCCCCGTGATTTCGGATCCGCCGTTTTTTGGTGCGTTGTCCGATGCCAAATTGTGTTGGACATGCACTTCAAAAATCGGGCGGAAAATTCTGCCGTAGAAAAGTCGCTACTTCCGCAAAAGTTCGGCGGAAACAGCGACGGCAAAGTAGGACGGACATCGACATCCAGTGCGCTTGAAAAGTAGGGCGGGAATGTGTGCCCTACTTACGAATTCACCCAATCTAATGCGGATCCCAAGCCAGTGCATGCCCTCTTGCCGAAGCCAGGAGGGCGTATACACCGATCCTCCTGGGCCAAAGATGGGCCTGGCCAAGATCGGCGTAGGTGTGTACTGGGATATCCGACGTTGCGAAACAAACGTTCCATATTCAAAAATCACGACGGGAGCCCTAGACCCCATCTGTCTGCGGCATTTCTCGAGCTAGCTCGATCTGTGATGTCCCCGGGGCCCGAACAATGGGCGAAAACGCCCAGCGTGTAAAATAATGCATCGCCCGGACCTCAGGGTACTTAGGCTCTCTTTGAGGCCAAGGAGGCCGGCCTGCAGCCGAACCCCAGCCTGCTCCCCGCCCCAGCCCATCCTCTGGCCATGTCGAGGCTGGGCCCTGCTGCTTCGGCAGAACTGCAGCCTCCGTTGGGCGACGAGGACGCCGTCGGCACGCCGCTGGCCAGCGTGGGGGGCTCTCCGACGGCCGCGGTGCCGGTGGCCTCCGAGGTATCGGCGGCCTTCGCGGGCATCTTCCCTGCCAACGTCAGCTACCGCCAGACGATCGACGAGCGGACGCGCGGGGCCGTGGAGGCGGACGACCCGCTCAACTGGCTGTGGGCCGCGATCGGGGCCATGCAGGAGATGTCCATTCCCTTGATCCTCGGCATCGTGGTGGCCCTGGTCTACGCCAACGTGGCCCCAGAGTCTTACAAGTACTGGCTGATGGAGGGCGTCCCGTGGGACGAGACGGCGGACTGCCACGACTGCGGCGGGCCCTCCACGGGCGGCCACCACGGCGGGCCTGGCCACGCGACGACCAAACAGTTTGTTCTCTCCGACTGCCCCGTCTTCGGCCATGCCCTGTCCCTACACTTCGTGGCCAACGACATTATCATGGTTTTGTTTTTCGGCTTAGCGAGTAAGGAGATCACCGAGGCGATGTTGCCTGGTGGCTCGCTCAACCCTCTGAGGAAGGCCGCCAACCCGCTGGCGGCGACCCTCGGCGGCGCCATCTGCCCAGTTGCCATGTATCCGTAAGGGCTTCGCCCCCTGCCGCCGGCCCCCTCTCTCGGAGAATGGGCCATGGAAGAGCTAAGTCATGAGGCTTTGGCGCTGTCGTGCAGCAGTATCGGAACTTCATGCGAGGCCGATTCGCAATCGGCAAAACCAACTGATCACAAGAGGGTTACCACACAGGGCGATTGGTAAGACGTGTATGGTTTACGAGCTTGGTTACCACACCTTGGGATTAAAGGGCCGAGGGAGTACTCGCAGTTTGGGTTTGGGTTACCACGCCTTGCGATGGATGTGCGTGAGGGGTGGCACCGAATTTCAGAAATGTGGCAAATCCCCTGTGTTTTTGGACCCTGACCCCGCGGATCTGCGTGAGGGGTGGCACCGAATTTCAGAAATGTGGCAAATCCCATGTGTTTTTGGACCCTGACCCCGCGGATCTGCGTGAGGGGTGGCACCGAATTTCAGAAATGTGGCAAATCCCTGTGTTTTTGGACCCTGACCCGCGGATCTGCGTGAGGGGTGGCACCGAATTTCAGAAATGTGGCAAATCCCATGTGTTTTTGGACCCTGACCCCGCGGATCTGCGTGAGGGGTGGCACCGAATTTCAGAAATGTGGCAAATCCCATGTGTTTTTGGACCCTGACCCCGCGGATCTGCGTGAGGGGTGGCACCGAATTTCAGAAATGTGGCAAATCCCTTGTGTTTTTGGACCCTGACCCCGCGGATCTGCGTGAGGGGTGGCACCGAATTTCAGAAATGTGGCAAATCCCCTGTGTTTTTGGACCCTGACCCCGCGGATCTGCGTGAGGGGTGGCACCGAATTTCAGAAATGTGGCAAATCCCATGTGTTTTTGGACCCTGACCCCGCGGATCTGCGTGAGGGGTGTCGATTTCGAGCCCCCCCAGCAATTCAGACAACGCGCCCAGGTGAGGCTAAAAATCTTGTTTGGGCCTCCCCCCCCCTCGCGCGGTCAATCAACTAGTTACAGTAACCAGCAAGAAGTCAACTAGTTACAGTAACCAGCAAGAAGCAGAACTGTAACACTGGAAACTACAACCTACGACTGGTACAGGAAACTGCGAATCACGCGCCTCGCAGCCTGGTGGCCCCACAAGGGGGCCGGCGGATTTCATGCTGCTGAAGGTGCTCAAGGGACTTGGCGGCTTCCCAGAATCGGAGCTCACCGAGCTGTCGAGAGGCTGGGGCATAGTGACCGCCACAGACATCTCCCTGGCCTGGCTCACCGCACGCCTCGTCTTCAGCGGTGGTCACCCCGCAATCGACTACCTCCTTCTGCTGGCGGTGGCGGACGATGCCATCGGCCTCGTCATCATCGCCGTGTTCTATCCAGACCCCAACCACCCATCCGAGCCGATCTGGCTGTTGCTGACTGGCGCCGGCGTCTTCATCGCCTTCCTGCTGCGCCGCTGGCACTTCAGGATCAAACGCGAGAGGCATCAGTCCTGGGTGCCATACGTGTTCTTGGCCGGGTCGCTGTCCTGGGCGGGCCTCATGAAGGCGCATCTCCACCCAGCGCTCGCGCTCGTGCCCATCGTTCCATTTATGCCGGGCCCACCCGCCGAGCAGCTCGAGTCCCTCAACAAGGAGGGGGTTGCAGAGCTGGACAGCGCCGTGCGTGCCCGGATCATTTCGGACCTGAGCGAGGCGAACAGGACCGTGTCGCAGGATTCTGTGACAGACGCCCTGCAGGCGCATCACGTCGCGGGCCGGGGCCGAGAGATCGCCGCGGGTCTGCATGCCGGCATAGTCGGGCACCGCGTGGATCCCGCCTTGCGGGTTCAGGAGTTCGACGACGAAGGAGAGCAGCACGCGCACGCGTCCACGCTCGACGACTTCGAGCACTCGGTGAAGGTCTACGTCGACTTCGGTATGTTCTTGTTCGCCGTAACCAACGCCGGGGTGCCCATCGAGGGTCTTGGCGGCATGAGCGTCCTGGTACTCCTGAGCCTCGCGTTAGGGAAGTTCACCGGCATTTTCCTCTTCGGGAAGCTCGCTGCGAAGGTCGGCTTCCCGATGCCGCTGGGAGTGGGCAACAGGCATCTCCTGATGGTGGCTCTGATCGGCGGCATCGGCCTGACGGTGGCCCTCTTTGTGGCCGACGTCGCCTTCGAGGGCAAGCTCCAGAGCGACGCGAAGCTCGGAGCCGTGCTCTCTGGGCTCCTGGCCCCGATCGCGGTGGCGATCGGGCGCTGTGCCAGGCTCTCGGGGCAGCAGGACATCGAGCTCACCGCGGCCGAGCAGGTGCAGGAGACGCTCGCGCAGTGCCACGCCGAGGGGGACGACTCCGAGGACAGCAGCAGCAGCGACGACGGCGCCTGAGCGTGCAGGGCCGCCGCGCGCGTGCTCGTCGTCGGCCGACCTTCTCGCCGAGCGCGGCCCCGCGGGAAGAGGGGCGCGCCGCTGGCCAGTATTCAAAGAACGGCAGCAGTCGGCGACAGCCCCCGCCGCGACGAGGGCAGCAGCGGTCGCCGAACTCGTGCAGTTGTGTCTATGATCACAACGGCCAAGCGTGCACGGATCATGCTGAATGGTTGTTTTCGGGGCGCTTCGGCCCCACCCTGCAGTACCCGCGCGGCATTCCACGCAGGTCGCAGTCGTAGGCACAGGTGTCAGAGGATGGAGGAAGGTTACAGTCGAGGCGCTGTTTCTTACCAAAACATGTCTTTGCGGGCGCCCTGTGCCGAGCCGCATGATGCCCTCGTTCGAGACCTAGGAAAAGCGGTCCTCTTTTCTCTTCACCATTCGTCCACGGCCCTGCGCAATGCACGCACAAGGCAGAAAGGAGAAACGAGAGGAAGAGGAGAAGGAGGAGGGAGGGCATCGACCCAACATGTGGCACACAGGTCGACTGCACGCCAGCGAAGCAACGGGCGGAGGAGGAGGAGGAGGAGGAGGAGGAGAATGAGGAGGAGAAGGAGGAGGAGGAGGAGGACGAGGAGGAGGAGGCGGAGGCGGAGGCGGAGGCGGAGGCGGAGGCGGAGGCGGAGGCGGAGGAGGAGGAGAGGAGGAGGAGGAGGAGGAGGAGGACGAGGAGGAGGGAGGAGGAGGAGGAGGAGGAGGAGGAAGAGGAGGAGGAGGAGGAGGTCAGGAAGATGAGAGGAGGTCGGGAGGACGGGAGGACGACCACGACGACGAGGGCCCAGCCCTGCTGGGCTGCCGCCGCCCCGCGACGCCCGCCGCCTCACGCCGCTGCCGCCGCCGTCGCCGCCACCGCCGCCACCCGCGCCGCCGCGCGGTGTATCGCCGCCGCACGGCATTTCGCTGCCGCGGCGCTGGCGCCCGCGCGGCCCGAGCTGCGAAGGCCGGGCGCGCGGGCCGGGCGCGCGGGGCGGCGCGCGCGGCGGCGCGCGGGGCGGCCGCGCGGCGCCCCGCGCGACGCCTCGCGCCGCGCAGGGCGCTGGCTGGGACCCCCCCGCGCGCCGCTCGGCGGCGGGGCACCGGCGGGCCCCGAAGCAGCGGCTGCGACGGCGTCGGCGCCAGCGTCGGCGGCGTCGGCGGCGGCGGCGGCGGCGGCGTCGTCGTCGTCGTCGTCGCCGCCGTCGTCGCTGGCGATGTCCATGCGTTTCTGGAGGGTCTCGTCGCCACGGGTGGACGCAGCTCGAGGATCTGGCCTGACCTCAGGAGAGGTCTGGGGACTGATCTGGAGTGGATTTTGTAGGTGGAAGAGGAGAAGGCTCATATGAAGTAGCGATGTTGTGATCTCGAGTTTCTCTCGATGAAGGCTTTTTGGCGGTCTGGGGTGTTTCTCGGTGTTCCTCGGACGTTCCCGTAATTTTCTGGAGGTGTCTTGATGTTTCTGGGGGTGTCTGGAAGGGCGAAGTGCGGATGTCTGACTTCTCCTTCCTTGAGCCCGCTTCACTTGGTGATGTCGTTATAAGCCTAAAGTTCGGACGTTTCAGCGGCTGCATGGATGGTGGTTGCTCGTTTTCAAGATTTGTGTCGTCGTGGACATTTTCAAACTGTCAGGTTTTCACACATGCACGGATGGGGAGCGGCTCCTTCTTCAACACATTGGTATCACGTTGACACTTCTCCTAACGTGTTATGCTCTTGAAGCTTGAAGGTTCGAGCAGCTACATGGAGGGAGGATGGACGGATTTTGAAATCGGGTTATAAAGTTCCCTCATGTGCTTCATCGCAGAGCTTGGAATTGCCAATAGCTGCACGGCGGCAACTGTTTCCTGTTCAAATCCAGGCTCTCGCTGGGAGCTTTCCCGCAATGTCAACCGCCAAATGAATTCGCGGCAATCGCAAGGATATTTGGCAGGCCGTTTTCAAAGTCGTGATTGATCTGTCTCTGACTCTTTTTCTGAGCAGTGGAGCCGCGTCCTACTCCTTCGCTGCTCCTGCTGCTGCTCTCTCCCTCTGTTCCGAAGCCGCCCCTGCTCAAGCTGTAATCCTGAGGTCCCCAGGGACGCCGATGGTCGCCCCCTGGGCCGCGGTTGGATCGTGGGCTGCCTCGGTCGCGACCGCCCGGCTCGCCCAGTGCTCGCCCTGCCCAGAGGCCTGGGTGACGTGCGGATCCGGCCCCGCGTGCCCGTCCCAGGTGGCGGTCGCTTGCGGTCACTTGAGGTGGCGGTCACTTGCGCTGCCAGGCCTGCAGCCTGGCCTGCGGCAGCGGGCCGGATTGGTGGGCAGTGGGGGCCGCCGCTGGCCTCTTGGTCGGCGGAGGCTGTCGCTCGCTGCTCGGGGCGGTGGGCTTGCTCGCGGCGCGCGCTGTGGGGCTGGGAACCCGCCCAGGGGTGGCCGCGACGCCCGTCGAGCTCCTCGTGGAGGACGGCGCGGACGTCGACGACTCCGCCGTCGGCGCTGCGCTGGCACGGACTGCGCGCGGGCGCTTCTGGGCGGTGCGGGCCCGTCCTAGCCCGGCGCCGCCATGGCGGCGCATAGACTCTGGACATGCCGGAGTCGCCTGTGTGCGTGAAGTACGACGACGACAACCTTTGTTGGCATCGCCGCCTCTACCTTGTCCAGCTCAGCCCAGACAACTGGGTGGCCGCGACGCCTGATGGCGAGATCTTCATGCTGGACCTCAGCGGCCACCTGGTCGTGGCGCTGCGGCACGCGTCGGCCTTCCCGCCGCGGCGCGAGTCCGCGGGCAGATGTACGCTTTCGGTGCCTAGAGCGACGAGTTCATTTAGGCATTGAGGGTCGAAGCGAGAAGGCCCGCGGTGGTGATGGGCGTGGCCGCTCCGACGGGAGCTCCGTGCCACGGTGGATCGTCTCAGATTCTGGTGCGGCCGAGTTCGGACAGGAGCTGGACCCTCAACTCGTGGGCAACCCAGAGCGGCTGGTTACGAGGGGCGCCGTCGGCATCGCGATGCTCAGCGAGGACGAGGGGTGGGTCTGGGTCGAGAACGTCCAAGTGGCGGACGAGGAGGAGTGGCGCGCCGAGAAGCGGAGGGGCCCGGGTCGAGACCCGCGAGTCTCACCGCTCACTCGTCGCAGGCGTGGGCCGCCCGTCTCGCTGGCTGACGCCCTCCTCCAAGATGAGCTCGATCGACGCCGACGACTGGCCGTTCCAGGGGCCGAAGGCGCTACCAGGGCTGCTCTCGGCGATCCTCGCGACTGGCCTCGCGCTCACCTCGTATTGGGGCTACTGGGTGGCTGAGTCAGGTGTCTCGCGGAACGCTGCAGTGGCGCAGGAGGTGCGACGCTTTCTGAACATGCTGGATACGCCGTGACCTGCGGCCTCGTGGACACCTCGAACGTGGCGTCGTTCGACCTTCCGGGCCGGAGGGTGCTGCAGATACAGCGCGCGGTGAACGAGATGCCCGCGCCACCCGAGCTTCGAGGGTGTTTTGACCCGATGCGGCCCGATGCTCAGCAGCTCCCTGGACGAGAGCGTCGGCGCGGTGACCTCGAAGTTCGACGCCTTCGTCGCCGAAGAGCAGAAGTCGCAGGGCATCATCTTGAAGCGGGAGTGCCTGTTCGAGGAGGAGCAGGAGACGGGGGCCAAGAGGTGCGATCGACGCGACGGCGAGCGGGACAGACCGAAGGCGGACCCAAAGACAAAGGCGAAGGCCAAAACAAGGGGGCCGCGAAGGATCAGGGCTGATGGCGCCACGACGGCGCCGCTTTGGCTGGGCTTTCCACTTGGTTTTTTTTCGCCCTAGCCTTTCTCGTCCTGGCCCTGGCCGCGCAGCCGCGGATGCGAGCGGGGTCGGGCATCCCTCCGAGGGGGTGTCCTGCGAGGGTCGGACTTCGTCCGCAATTGTGCTTTCTCTGCCTGAGAGCGATGGAATCTTTCGTCAGCCTCGTAGTGGAGAACGTGCTGGTCTACCCCGGTATCTGGCTCAGCGGGCTGCTCATGCTGGTGATCGTGACCGCCGGTCTCTCGAGACTCGCGTGGCGCTCAACGCGTTGGCGGCTGCGCGGGCTTGAGGGCGTCTCGAGCCTCGACAGGCTGGCAAGCATTTGCCGACTACCGCGATGGAGTCGATCATGGAGCCAGACCGCCGTCGCGCCCGCGGCGTCGGCGACCGGCCGAAGGACATGGGCAGCGCTGGGGCCCTTTCGGGGCTCCTCGAGCGGAAGGAACTTTATTCCCTACCTAGGCTCTGCCTAGAGGGTTCCTACTCCTTTTCTTAAAAGGGGCCGGGCAGTGCAACTCGCCCCGGGCGGCCCCCCCAGCCCCCGCCCCCGCGGTTCCCCCAGTTGCGCCCCCCTGGTTCACCCAGTTTAGCTTAGCCTAGCTTAGCTTAGCTCAGCTCAGCTCAGCTATAGCTTAGCTGAGCATAGCATAACATAGCTTAGCTTACCTCATCGTAGCTTAGTTTATCTTAACTTAACTTAGCTTTGCCTAGCCTAGCCTAGCTTAGCTTAGTTTAGCTTAGCTTAGCTTAGCTTAGCTCAACTTTGCGTACCCTAGCCTAGCTTAGCTTAGCTAAGCTAAGCTTAGCTTAGCTTAGATTAGCTTAGCTTGTCTTAGCTTAGCTTCGCTTAGCTTAGCTTAGCTTGGCCTAGCCTAGCCTAGCTTCGCTTAGCTTGGCTTAGCTTAGCTTATCCTAGCTTAGCTTAGCATAGCTTAGCTTATCTTAGCTTGGGTTAGCGCAGCGCAGCATAGCGCAGCGCAGCATTCGCACATCATAGCATCGCATTACATAGACCATCAAACCATACCATAGCATAACATAGCACAGCTCAGCATATCATAGCCGAGCATAGCATAACATAGCATATCATAACATAGCATCGCGCATCAGAGCGTAGCATATCATTTCATATCATCACATTGCCTAGCATCGCACAGCCCAGCATAACATACCATAACACATCATATCATTTCATATCATATCATATCATATCATATCATAACATGACATATCGCAGCATTGCATGTCACATCATAACGTAACCTATCATATCATAGCGCAGCATACCATATCACATCATAGCCTATCATAGCATAACGGAGCGCAGCATAGCATAGCATCTCATATCTTAACATAACATAGCACAGCCTAGCATAGCATAGCGCAGCATAAATGCAGGTACATATGTTAATGTAGCTGTCGGTGTAGATGTAGATGTTGCTTTCCTAGATGCTCCAACTCCTAGGTCGGGTCGCACTGGGATAATTCGAACGTAGGCGAGCCCTCTGCTCGCTGTGATTATGATGCTGATATGCTCAATGTGCTGCGACGGCCGGCTGGTGAACGGCTTCGACAGCTGCGCGAAGTCGCGCCTCGGCTCGCCACCGTGGCGTTAGACCACT